CCCCCCCCCTCGCATGTCACTAGGCAATGGGGTAGATCCCCTTAGAGGAGGAACAAAGGGGCGGGAGAATAGCCTCTTCCGACTCCCATTCCAGCAGTAAGCCCCAGGGATAACATCCAGGACTCAGTCCTGTTTTCAGCTCCAGGTAGGGAAAAGCAGGAAGGCCAGGTGGGGTGACACTGTGGCAGACATCAGGACCAGCTGCAAAGACTATGACTGCCTACCCTAGTGCCGACCAATCGGTGGAGAACAGGACCCTGAGGAGACACCTAGAAAGCTGAATATTCTATGGAGAGCCTCCCTTGAGGGCTCCAGATAAAAGCCCTTAAGACAGAGGACTCAGTGGCTCTTTCCCTGGAGCAGGCTCGCACGGTTTCCTTCCCCTTCTTTTCTCAGGTTTCCTTCCTCTCCTTCCCTCAAGATGCTTACCTTTGCTTTCTTTCTCCTAAGCTCCAAGTGCCCTTCTTTTGCCTCTGTAACTTGTTTCCTGAGCCCACACAGCTGAGCTGGCTCACTTTTTCTACAGCTCACTTCTTCTACCTCTGTGATTTTCTAAATAAACTTTTGCTTGTATTTGAGTCTTGCCTCTGAATTCTTTCTTAGCCAAAACTCAAGGACCGAGGTCTAACGTCTGGTGCCATTTCGGCATTAACAATTTGAAATTCCTTAGACTGTCAGCTCTTCTACCCAGAGGTCATATCTCATTCATTATAGGTTTCAAGTACTTAGCATTAGGATTCTATAAAGTAGACCCCTTATCTGCAAGTTCACTTTCTGTGTTTCAGCCATGGCCAGAAAACATTAAATGGAAAATTCTAGGATTAAGCAATTTGTAAGTTTTAAATTGTATGCTGTTCTGAGTAGTGCGATGTAATCTCATTCCATCCCACCTTATCTTACTCAGGAAGTGAATCATCCCTTTGTTCTGTGTATCGTTGCTTTAGTCTCTTAGACTTGGTTATTGGATTCATTGATATGGCAGTCATGGTACTGCAGTGCTTGTGTTCAAGTCACCCTTATTTTACTTAGTAATGATCTTAAAGCGGAAGAGTAGTGATCCTGGCAGTTCAGATACGCCAAAGAGAAGCCATAAAGTGCCTCCTTTAAGTGCAAAGGTATGTCTGTATAGGAAGACAACAGTAATGAATATAGAGAGTTCAGTATTATCCGAGGTTTCAGGCATCCACTGGGGGTCTTGGAATGTATCCCCTGTGAATAAGGGTGTTCAATATGTATTGATTAATGATGGAATGATATTAATGAATTAACAATGTTACTAGGTGTCATTTACATTTTTATAATGCATAAACCAAGGCTTAGATATGTAAAATGATCATTTACAACTGAAGCATGTAACCCTCATTTTTCAATCATGAAGTATGTAACCCTCATTTTTAATCTGTCAACCCTGTTCTATAACCCTGAACAAAAAGTTACAAGCTAGTGCCAGGAAATAACCAACCGTAACAGTTAAACAATGCTTACCTTGGCTTCTGTACATTGCTTCCCTAGGTTCCCACCCCTCTCCGTGCCAACCAGGATGCAGTTTTGCCTTTATATTTGATCTATTGAGACTGTTCGGGGCTGCGAGCTTGTTTAGGACAGGAGTCCACTCACAGTCACTGGCTAATAAATCTCCAAACACTCAATTTAGTCTCTGTGTGAATTAGTCTTGCGTAAGTCAGGTATAACACAACTGGCTTAGCAGAGATGAGCCCATGTTACTTGCCACCAGTTCTATGCTTTTCTCATTGTACTAGTGCTGTCTCATTACAACACTGTCTGACATTAGAGTTGGTGCTTGAGAAAAAATGGATCTGAACATTAGCTAATATTTACTGAGCACTTATTGAGTGCAGGACAGTGTGTCAGAATTCCTGGTTCATGGCCCCACCGACTCCTTGCTGTTCCTCGCTTAGGCCTTAGAGACTTTTCTCAGCCTCCAAACGGCAGGTATTATCATTATCTCTGTTTTACAGTGCGGGAAACTGAGGCTCAGAGAATTGCAATGCCTTGTCCAAGGTTTCGTAAATAACAGAACGCTGTTCTGTCTGAGTCCACAGTTTGTGTGCATTACCCTGATGCACATTGCCTCCACCATATTTCCTTCCTTTCTTTTTTTCTAGCTTTATTGAGGAAATGAAAAATTTTTAATTGACAATTAAAAATTATTTATTTAAGGTGTGCACCTTCATGATTTGATATACATTGTGAAATAATCAGCTTTATCAAGCCACTTAGCATATCAATCACCTCACATAGTTACCATTTTCTTTTTTTTTTCTGGTAAGAACATAAAAGATCTGTCCTCTTAGCAAATTTCAAGTATATAATACAGTACTGTTAATTATAGTCACATTGTTGTGCATTAGATCTCCAGAACTTATCTTTGATAACTTTGCATAACTGAAACTTTGTACTCTTTGACCAACATCTCTCCATTTCCTCTCTCCCCCACGCCTTGGCAACCACCATTCTTTCTGCTTCCATTAGTTCAGCTATTTGAGATTTCATATATAAGTGAACTCATGCAGCATTTGTCTTTCTGAGTCTGGTGTATTTCACTTAGCACAGTGTCCTTTAGGTTCATCCATGTTGTCGCAAATGGCAGCGTTTCCTTCTTTTTTTAAGCTGAGTGAGATCCCACTGCTCTGTGACCAGCAGCAGCACAACTCCAGTTGTAGGTAGCGACTAGCATGGGCCCCGGGCCTCAGCAACGCATAGACACTGGCATGGAAGACAGGAACTGGGAGCAGAGGGAGAAAGAGGGAACGGAACTCAGGAGGACACCTGGATTGGTTACTGAGGCACACAGTGCCAGCCTGCTTCAGTGGTGCTTGCAGGCTTTCCAAAACCAGACAGCAGCCGGGGGTTGGAGTTTGTTGACGCCTGCCATAGTATCCTGATGTAGTAGACTAAATGACTTAGAATCATGATATACAAAAAGATCCTTGTTCAACCCCTGTATTTTCCAGCTGGAGAATATGAGGTCCAGAGAGTCAAATGAACATGCCCACAGGTTTTCTCACTCCTGGTACCATATTCTGTTCTCTAATTCCATAAATGCAGTTCATTCATACCCACAGCCATGTAAGAAACTTGTTGCTCTTTTAACACTTAAAAAGAAAAGAAAGCAAATGCAAGGGAAAGCGGGATGCTAATAGGATAGCCTATTCTATTTGCCCTGGAAATTTGCTGGAGCTGTGTCATTCCCATTTTTGGCACAGGAGCCTCGCATCTCTGGAATGCTCTCCCTTTGGCTTCCATGAGAATTCCTCAAGGGTACCTTAAGCCTAACCAAAACTTGTCCTCTTCGCTCTCCCTTCTCTGTGCGTAGTCGACTAACCAGAAGCTGATGTCAATTCTGTGGCACCATGGAACACTTCCTCTGTGCTCTGCTGAGGATACAGGGACACAGGGTGACCTTGGGTTAACCTCTACAGCTGTTACCCAGTGGCTGCTGGTGCTTATGGAAGACCTCTGGCCCTGAAAGTTCTGAATCATAACAGACAGATCATGGCCATGCCGCTGTTCCACTCATCTCATCCTTTTGCATGTCTGCCCATTCGCCCCAGGGATTCACAGCCGACTCAAGAGACCCCAGCTCTCAGTGAAATGCGGGTAAAATCATGAAACAGTAGAGCCAGAAGTAACCTTAGAGATTTACTAGTCCACTCCGTTTATTTTAAAGATGGACAACTGCCGCTCAGAAAAGGGAAGGGAGTCTCCCAAGGCCACTGAGAACTGAGGTGAAGCTAGGGTTAAAACGCAGGCCTTCGTTTCACGTTTACTGTCTTCACTAACTTGGCTGGATCTCCATCTTGACACAATTCACCACCCAACCCAAAGGCTTGCTCCTAGGAGACCACCAGGGTAATGCTTGTTGAATTGAATAAAATAGAACTGAAGATTGAATTTCTGCCTAACTCAGTGCCTGACACAGAGCAGGCACTCAGTAAGTATCTGTTGAATGGATGAATGCCATCTTCAACTATCTGAAACTTGCTGGAAGATGGAAGATGGTAACTAATTTTTTTTTCTTTTGATTTTTAAAGAAAATATGTTTTTCTTGATTTCAGAGAGAGGAAGGGAGAGGGAGAGAGAGATAGAAACATCAACGATGAGAGAGAATCATCCATTGGCTGCCTCCTGCACGCCCCCTACTGGGGATCGAGCCCACAACTAGGGCATGTGCCCTGACCGGGAATCGAACCCTGATCTCCTGGTTCATTGGTAGACACTCAACCACTGAGCCACACCGGCCGGTCTTTTCTTTTGATTTTTAAGCAGTACCTTCTTTTAGAAGGTAAAGGAAGAAATAAGGGAAGGGAGGTAGATCACAATTTTAAATAGGGTGGTCAGGGTAGGCCCTGTGAGAAGGTAAGATTTGAGTAAAGGTTTGAAGGAGGTAGAGAGTGGGCCTAGTGGATATGTGGGGGCAGAGGCTGAGAAAAGTCTCTAAGGCCTAAGTGAGGAACAGCAAGGAGTCGGTGGGGCCATGAACCAGGAATTCTGACTATATTTTGAAGGTAAAGCCTGATGCCCAATTCTGGGAGGTCATGTATAAAGAATAAACTGCCATGTGAAGGGTAGTTTGGAGTCACAGAGACCCTTTTTAGGTCAGGGAATAATCCATTTCATGGTTTGGCCAAATTCAGCTACTGGGAGTTTATTTGCTCAGAAATTATCAAGGCTATCTGTTTCTTCTCCCTGGGGTCAAAATAAAAACATCATGGAAAGAAGGACATCAAGCTAACTTGCTGAGTCTCTAGTTTACTTTGTTCCAAATCACAAAGCCTTGATTACCACACAGGAAAGCATATTTCACAAGAGGCTCAGAGAAAAAGCCAGTCCATTGCTGAACACATTAATCGCATGGTTAGAGCTTCAGCATGGTCTGAGAAGGAGGAACTGATGTGGGGCAGAGCCCAGCCCATGCGGAATGGAGCCAAGGCCTCTTACAAATAAGCTTGACCTGTTGCTGTGAAGGCAAATGAGTTAATAAAAGTTAAAGTGGGTAGAGCATGGAACATCATAAACCGCTATGTAAGTATTTGTTTTTAGGCCACAGAGTTTAGTCCGATCTCCTCATTTACAAGTGGGGAAAACAGGCTCACAGAGAGGAAGTTAGACGCTGGATCTCCAGCTTACTTCATGAGCACTAAATTGTTTTCTTTTATTATGTTTGGATGATCAGGATTTCCAGTCTTTCCCACGTTCCCATCATGGGTGCGTGCCCCTCACAGTTCATTTCTGGGACGCTCCTTTAGACTTAGAACTGTGGGTGCTCATCTGAGAATCTGTCTGCCCTCCCAGGGAAGGGAGTGCAGCGGGATGTTTTGTTACTCTAGGGCACCTGTGGAAGGAAGCCAGCCTCCAGCTTGGCCCTCCGTGGTATTCATACCCTTGTGTACTCTCCCACATTGCACCAGGGCTGTGGCCGACAGCGTACAACAGAAGTCGTGGTATGACACTTCTGAGACGAGACTATAAAAGTCTGTGGTTTCTGGGTCGGGTGCTTTCTTGGATCGCTTATTTGGGAAAAGCAAGCTGCCAGTTTGTGAGCAGCCCTATGGTCACGTGGCAGGGAACCAAAGCCTCCAGCCAACAGCCGGTGAGGACTGAGGTCTGCCAACAACTAGCACATGAGCTTGGAAGTGGATTCTCCAGCTCCAAGCTCAAATATTGAGATGACCCACAGCCCCAGCCGGCAGCCTGACTGCAATCTCATGAGAGACCCTGAGCCAGGACCACCTGGCTAAGCAGCTCCTAGACTCCTGATCCCTGGAAACTGTGAGACGGATAATATTTGTCTTAAACTGTTAAATTTTAAGATACTTTGCTGCATAGCAATAGCTGTGTAATATCCTCACCTTCCCTTACCAGTGAGCCTCTGTTGCACTGAGCTCTTGTCTCTCCATCTCTGCTCCTTCCACCACTCTCGCCATTGCCTTGTTCATTCCCCATGTGCCCTCATCTCCAACTCTCGGAGGCCAAATCCAGAAGTCACCAAATCTGCTGAATCACTGGTGATACCAGTGGGAGCAGATGGGGGCTAACATCAGAATTTGAAAAAGGCTTAATAAAGAGATTATTTGCAAAATTGTAAGTGGGGTGGCAGGTAATCACAAGGACGCTGCAGTGCCCCAGGGCTAGTGAAGGTGGGGTGCTGTTTATGGCCTGAAAGGGTAGAGGGAGGGAGCACTTCCTGGAACCAGGAGACAGAGCTGTGTGAAGAGGGCCCCCTGACAGGAGCTGGACCTTTGGGTCCAGGACAGAGCCAGGCATTGGCAGCCCCTGGGGTGGAAGGTAGAAATGCAGCATGTCTCAGCTCTTTCTGGCACTTCCCTCTTAGCTTAACCCAACAGGAAGCCAGACATCAGAGAAGCCTACTTTAGTTCAGGTTCCCTCAGAGCAGACTATGGGATAAGGGTTTAAGTGAAAGTCTATTTAAGTGAAAAATTATTTGAGAGGTTCAGGGTGCACCCGTAGAGTGAGGGAACGAGCGATAAAGGGAAGGGAAGGCGGCCAAGAAGATTGTGTTACTAAGCCAACTATAATAGGGGTTTAGTTTCACAGAGAAACTCTGGGAAACAATGTAAACACATGCCCCAGAATTATTCCACCAAAGGGGAGGTGGGTGGAGTTG